AGACACCTCCTGGGAAGTCCAAAGGGGTAGGAGTGGAGCTTAGAGAGAGAAGAGGTTTTTCCTACGCCTTGCTTCAATGTCATAGAAGAGACTGAAGCAGTAAGCAGATTTCAGCTCTGCTCAGCCCTCTTGTCATTTGTTGTTGGCACCTGTAACACTGTGTAAGAGCTGCATCCCCTTTGGTCTGTTTCCATCATGACTCTTTTTGTGACTTCCCTGCTGATAAGAAGTCAGTCGAGTTTTGTAAATCCTTGCACAAACAAGACCAAAAGCAGGTCCAAGTCCCATTCATCCAACTGCCTCAGCCAGAAAAGCTGGCTGCTGCCCCTCCTGCATTGCAGATTGTCACAAACACTAATCCAGGAACTTGGGTTGTGCCCCCATTTTCCCTTTTTTGCGTGAACATAGAGAATCCTTTGCTGTGTGACTCAGAAGGGTTGTGTTCCATCAGAGACCATCACAGGGTTTCTCTGGTCCCCAGTGCTGCAGACAGAAGTGTTGTCACCCCGTTGTGCATCTGCTGCCAGCCTGAGTTCAGGCTGGCCGAGGGAGTGATCAGAAGGGGAACACGCTTTGTGCAGCACTCCTTTACAGCAAGGGGCTCCTTACAGGGCTGGGCAGTGCTCTGCTGTTCCCTGCATCAGCTCTAGCAGAAACATTCCCCAGCTCCTGATGGGCTCCAGCCAAGCCAGCACCAAAATGCTGACTGATGGTTTCCATGGGCTGGGACTGTTGTCTCTGGGTAACACCAGCGTTCTGCTGTCACCTCAGCTGCGTGTCTGAGCTGTAGCAGGGCTGCTGAGATGGGCAGGGGAAAGGGGGCTTCTCCTAAAGAGCAGTGCAGGTCAGCTGCTGGCAAAGCAATTATCGTAAAGAGGATCATTCATAAAGTGCAGTGATAGCTTACAAATCTCAAACCCAAGAGCTTCTTCTTTGATTATGGAAAACAAAGGGGCTTGAACTCTCGGTTTGATGTATTAAGTGATATTTTTTTAAAAGACATTTTGGGTTAGTCAAACTGGAATGATTCATAAAGCAGCTTAATTAGACCAGAGCTCCAGTGGGAGTCCCCTTTAACATGTCTACAGAGACTCTTTTAATACTCTAATCCATTTCTGAATAAAAGGTGAAACCAGGAATGGTAGTTTCAAAGGAGGAACTACAAAGAACATTTCTCTTTCTCTTTTTGCTCTTCTGTCCTTGCCATCTAGATATCAAGCTTCCATTGCATTCTAAGGATGACTTTTTTTCTAGGTTAGCTTGCACAAGCAGAGCTTTTTATATACCATCATTTAAAACTTAAGGAACCCTCCAAGTGAAAAATCGGTTACTAATGCGCCACCAAACCGGTGTTCTGGAATTACTGTAATGAATTCATCCTGTTGTACAGTGTTTTGTTTCACCTCCTAGCAAGTTTTTAAAAGAAATTTTAGGTCGCCCTGTTATAATTTGTTTTCCGCTTTATCCAGTGCTTTAGGAGGAGGTTTCATGCTGATGCTCCAGTAGGGTGGGAAATCCTGAAATGGGAAGTGGAAGTATGCCCTAAGGTCTATTTTTAGACTGATGTGACTAGGCTGTGCTTCAAAACAAAATTAAAAATAACCCACACAGACCTGGGTTCAGCAAAAGGGAGGCTAAAGACTTGAAAATGCTGTAGTCTGACAAGGAAATCAAGATCATGATGTTATATTTACTTTGCACTGGGCTTCTTTAGAGATGTGCAATCTCTCTACAACATCTGCTGGAACAGAATTAATAAGCTAAAGCAATGCTTTTAATGTCTAACTACTGTTGATTCCCTTTTCTTGAGGTAGGAATTGCTTACAGACCTTCAGCACTAACATTAAAATATCAGGATGGTAGCTGAAGGAATGGTTGGGTTTTTGTTTGGAATATGCAGTGCAGTTCCAGGTGAACAATGTCCAGTGATGATTGCTCTCCAATCATCTTTTGAGTGAGGGTTTTTTTTTTACAATATATTTTTCTCATGGAAAGAAAACAAAGGTGACTTAATTAAAATGAGGAAAGAAAAGCATGGATGGAATAGTTCACTCCAAGTGAATAAGAACTTGGTACTTAACCATTGTACCTCTTTATCTTGCTCATTCCTACTTTCCTGCTTTCCTAATGTTCAGCAGGTTACATTTCAAAATACCTGCCGTGATATTTTGGAGTGGCATCTTTGCTCTCAGAAGACTTTGGGGCACTTGAGAAATAATATTCCAAACGCTGTTTGCCTACCCATCCCAGTGATGTGGCACTTTGGGTCTAAGTTTTGTTCATTTGCTGGTTTTAAGTGTGCCTGAAATGCTGACACACTTAGAGCAGCAGGGCTTCTGTGAACTGGAATGGTCACCTAAATGCAAATACCAGTAGTAGACATACCTGTTAAACAATTTGAAGTGCAGGCTTGAAAGAAATAAATGATGAGAGGATAGTAGGTTGATTTCTCCTGGTGGCATAAAGCTTTTATGTTAAAGAGGAGTGTTTTAGGAAAGTAGATACTATGCCAAAAAAATTTAATAGGACCAAAGAGCAGCAGCGTCCGTATTTCTGTTGTAGATCTGTTACCTCTTGGGGCTCCCATAGAGGGCAATATTGTATAAAAGATGGTTTTAAGCCATGCATTAGGGGTCTGCCCATTCATCTGAAGAGACTTCAAGGGACACGACGCTGTTTAATGGGGCAGAAACTGAGAGACAAGTGAGCTACAGTGTGGGGTGATTTGCATTTTTCCAAGATGATTTGTGAAAGGTGAAAAGTTGCAGATGAATGCTTTGATTTGCCTTTATCTCACTCTGCCTGAGCACTTGTGTCAGTCATTTCATGCAATAACCCCTACTAAACAGTCAGAGGCTGCAGCATAATTTTGTTGACCTTAAATTAAGGCAAAAAGCTGCAGTTCTGGAATTTGAAGTTTGTAGTGTCTAATTGGCTAAAGGGCAAAAGAAAGAAGTAAAGATGAATGACAACTTTTTTGATATCACATGAAAAATCAAGGCTCATGCATCAGGGGACTTGAAAACAATTAGATTCATATCATTTCAGCCTATGTCTCAATCCTTTAAAATTACACTCTCTAAGTCTCGTTCAGTGGAGCTTAGATGAGCCTCAGATTTTAGGTGTTCCCAGGATGGGAGTTACAGGAATTGATTTCTTTGCAATGTGAAGTGCCTAAAATAGGAACCAGCGGCAGTTTGGGGGCCTCTTGCTGCTTTCTTCCCTTTTTATTCCTTTCTATCCAACATGGCAGAAATGCCATCTAAGTGAGTAGCAGGAAGGCAACCTACATTGTTAGCAAGTGAGGGGAAAAAATAAAGTTAATCTTTCAGGCTTTGGAGGAGCTGATAGCAGGAGAAAAACTGTGCCTGCAATACAAAGCCAAAAGTTATCAACTATCCTGAGAGATGTTTTCACAAATCAACAAAGAACATAAACTAGGGGGGGAAAAAAAAGGAAGCATTGCTCTGGTCTTTGTCCCTAAGATGAGAAACTGAAAAGCTGCGAGTATAAAGCAGGTATGAGCTGGTTGTCAGTGGAATGTCAGCTTCCAGCAGAACAGGAATAACTCAGGAGTGTCGAGAAGAGTCTCTGCTGCCTTGCACAGTGTTTTAATCAAAGCCCAGAGGGAGCAGTTCCCAGCCAGCCACAAAGCACCACGTCAGGCCGTGCAGAAAGAGGATTGCAGCACAACTGGGGCTTCACCAGATCTGTCTGAGATCTAGAACTGGTACTAGGTGAGGCTTAGTTCCTTCTTTTGTCCTTTCACCCCAAATACAGCTTGCATTTTGCTTCAGCATGCTTCTGTAAATCCTCAGAGGATCCATCTTGGAAGCACTTCCAGGATGAAAATGCTCTGACCTTTAGATGTTGACAGATGAGGTGCAGATTCTCCTGTTCTATATTTATTGACAATAATGGCAGTTCTTCCATTTTTTATTTTTTTTTTGTGAACAGTGTAACTTTTACATATTTGTATGACTTCATTGTACAGCTGCCCTCCTCTAACATATTATATATGTGCCAATTCTTTTACTCCAGGGATGTAAATGCAGTACCACATGTTGATAAACACACTGTACCATTTAAACCACTGTCTGCACCGTCACTCTTCAAAAATGAGACCTGCACAACACTGCAATTCAATGCAATGAGAAAGGCCATGAATTTACCCACAGAGGCAGCATGGCTGATAAAGCAGCTCCTGTCTCCTGTGCTCAGAGGTGATTCCTGTTCCAGATCAGCTCTGTGCTGGACCTGCCTTTTGCAGAGGTTGTGAGGCTGCTGCCACACGATGTGTGGTGGCTTTGTAAGGGGGAGTATCCTCTAATAAGGATTGCACAGCACCACCAGTCATCCCAATTAGCACTTGGATGAAATGGAGAACTGAACTCCAGAGGCAGGAACCAATTCTTCTCTATTCCATTGTTTGAAATGTTTTCCTTAGAGTGTGTTCAGGGGAGGATGGGAGATGAACCTTTTTACCTTTCTGGTATTGTCTCTTTCCATGGTGTATCATATCCACCCTTCCCACAGCTGAGCTAGTAGGGCTGTGCTTTCTGAGAGGAATTCAACAGAAAAACGTTCCATCTTTTGTCCCCTGGAAGAAGCACCAGTTTTTGGAGCAATCTGTCTTCAAATGTTTCTGTGAAATTTTCCTTTTAGTTCTTGATCCTGCTCAGACACATCAGACCGATACAAAACCCCCTGAGTAACGTCACCAGCCTCAGCAGAATGTCTAAACTCTCTAAACTCCAACTTTGCGTTATCACACCATAACTACATTAAAATTATGAACATGATGATGGCAGGTTCTAGGTCACTGGCTTTCAATCTTCCTGCTTAGGGCTGACCATAGCATTTGTCTGTATTTTCTTGTCTCAGGGACTCCGTGTTTCCTTAAGGGACCAAGCTCTTGCTCTCCACAGCTCCTTGGAGCTGAAGGTGCTCGCCCACACTGAGTGAGACACTGTTACGTTTCTATTTGCAGATATGCTGCTGTGATGGAAATTTCTGTTCCAACACACTTCCACACCGAGAGAAATAGAGGAAAAAGAAAAGAAAAAGGAGTCAAAAGCCAGAAGGCCTCATTTAAATGCCAGTGTGGCAACCAAAGAGGTAAGGGAATGAAACACCGACAGAGGGAGGAGGGGAAGGTCACTGTCCCCAGGGCCAGCAACGCCAGATGGCCGCAAGCACAAATCAGGAATTCCACAGACAGGAGTTTTACTCTCATCCTTTGATTTTTTTTTTCAGCATAATTTGCATTGCAGTTTATTTTCATGGCCATTGGGAGGTTGGTAAAGGGCCAGATTGCCCTAAAGGGAGGACATGTTCATGTGTACGTGCAGTGGGCTGTTCTGAGGTGTTGTCAGCACTAAACCTGCTCAGAGCAGCTCTCTTTGCTGGGGTGACAGCAGCAATAAAAGATCCACCTGAGGATCTCTTCCAGCTGAGATGCAAATACCCTCTCCTTCCCTCGTGCAGTCCTAAAGCTTGCACATCCATTTCCTGCATGGGGGTTGGACACTGCTTACACTTGGATTTAATTGCATTTCCGTGCTGGGTGGAAACTTCCAGTGGCCAAGTGAGAATATTCTGGCTTTAAATAAGAAGAGACATTTCTTAGTAACAAGCATTGACTATTGCACATCTGTCCTGGCAAAAATAAAAGAACTGACCTTAATGGTGATTGCCAGGGAATATTCCCAGGTTTACATTTGAGACACTTGCCTTTCCAGCCCCTTTTGCCTCCCTACAGAAAAGCTAATGGTGCACAAAGAAGAGTCAGGTCAATTGCTGTTCCTGTTAGTTCTGTGTAACTGAAGCACCAGTATCCCACATTCTGGTTAACTTCACAACCTTTGGAGTTTTTCTTCCACTGCATTGCATTTGTTTTCTGGACATACTCAATTTTGCTGGCACAGGACACAAAAATTATAAAAGGAAGTTTATGATAGAAGAGCAGGAAACAAATGACACTTGTGCATTTGTCATTGATCCTTGAAAAACGAGGTGAGCCCCAGACATGCTTTTGGGTGTTCCCAAAGAATCCTAAAGAAACAAATTCTCTGTTTTGCCTCCTATTCATGGCAAGGGCAAAGATGAAGTATCAGATTCAGTTGCTTAAAAGACTGATAAACCTGTAGGAGAAAGATGTTTTCTGCTGCACTGTTTGTCATAAACCAAATGAAGATTTAAAAAAAGCCCCATAACCTTAATAGCCTTTTGCAGAAATGAGGCAGACCCAGCAATCTTGAAGCAGTCATTGCTTCAGTCTTTCTATAACTCTGAAGACAACTAAATGAACACAGAAATCAGAGCTCTCACACACCCTACAGCCAGCAGCTCCCAAAATTATTAAAACCCTTATTGATTCAGTTTATTGCAGATGCTGTCCTGAAGCAGAAAAGGTGATTCTGCACTTCCTTAGTCCTTTTCCCTTGGACTGAGGTTTGGTTTGGCCTTGTGTGGTCCTGCTGAAGAGCAAAAGAGAGCAGTGACAAGGCTTCCTTCACCCTGGGATTATAAAATCTTGTTGTTTGGGCAGAGACAAATCCCTCCCTGGCTACAGCCTCCTGACAGCTACAGGGGCCAGGACCAGGTGTCCCCTGAGTCTCACTGAGTACTTGGTTTATGCAAAACATTGGGGCTCATTCCATTTGCTGAGAAGAAGAGCCAAAGGTGACACACCTTGGGCACCGTCCCCTCCTCACCCCAAAGTGCCCCCCAGGACGGCCTGTGGCTCATCAAGTAACATTTCTGCAATCAGGCATCGCCAAAAGTGTTTCTAACAACACATTCCATCACTTTTTGTCACTTTTTATTCAGTGCAAGCATGGAAATGTCTGAGATAGACAATGGAAAGCAATACATAAAATCCAAGACAAGCGATCATAGATGGCCCTGCTGGGAAAGCAGATCCAGGGAATTGGATGGAGGTGGAAGGTCACTCCTAACACATTAAATACAACAGCCAAAGCAGATCCTGATGTCACCCTGATACTGAGATGGAAAAGTCACCTGCTTAAAATCATTGAAAAGGAAAAGAAGGAGCAGGAGGACAGGTGGGTAGGTGTGTTGGTAACTCTGTTAAACACAGTTTAAAAAACCCCAAAACGCAGTAGTTATTAACCAGATATTTGAGGAGGCACAGCCACAGCTCTCTGCAGAACATTTACAAAGTGCTTGACAAATGGAAAGCTGGATCTTTTTCAGCAAGTGCCGTGGGTGCTGTGCAGCCAGACCTGGAGCACCAGGGCCATCCATCTGCCTCAGGAGTCCTGCTTCCATCCTTGGAGTGTGCATCCTTCCATCCTCCAGTGTGCACCGGCACTTCAGATTGAGGTAAGGACAGCACTGAATAGGGGAAAAAGAGCAGGAGCTATTCCCTCCATTGAATATTGGCACCACCACGTGACACATTCACTTGAAGACGAGCACAAAGGGATTACAACACAATTGTCCCCGGACAGAACAGAAACCAAGCTTCTCCTGCTGCTCTGGCCGGTCCCTAAACACAAGAAGGAGCTGTAGGTTTTCTCCATCGCTGCTGGTGCAGCTGAAGCCTTAAGTTCCTTAAGCCTTTCCTGTTTCCATCGCTGCTGGTGCAGCTGAAGCCTTAAGTTCCTTAAGCCTTTCCTGTTTCCCTGAGTTGTCTCTGATTTCCATCACCTCAGAATGGGCATCTGTGGCACGATGATGAGAAAGGGCAGCATTTTCCTTGGGAAACAGCCAGAAAAGAACAGGAGCAGGTCCCAGACTGGGGGCTGCCCCTTGCAGGGATTGTGTGTCAGCTCTGTTAGAATTGCTAATTATTTAGGCACCTAATTGGCTCTGAGGAGTGGAGGGGGAGAGATGGAAATGCAAGCCCTGGGCTGAAGGCCGTGCCCGAGGTGTGCCCAGCTCCCTGCACACCTTTTCCCCCCAGGTGCAGACCGGCTCCAGACGCTGCACATGGAAGGCAAGGAGAGCTGGGAGCCGAGAGAGGAGCGGTTTCTCCTGGAACACCGGGAGCCCTTCCATGGCAGCAGCTCATTCCCAGCCCCTGCCCCACTCTCTGCTCCCAAAGGTCACCGGGAACTCGCCCAAGGCCCGGGGGGCTCGGCAGGGCTTTCCCACCTGGGCCGAGTGCCACAGGAGGGGCCCCTGCAGGATTTCTGTCTCGGTCGGGTTCCAGCAGCTCAGACTGGCTCCTGCATCCAGCAGGGATTGGGTGGGGATTTGGTTGGGGCTTTTTGTTTGCTGGTTTGGCTTTTAGTTATTTAGAGAGTGCTTTGAGGGTCAGTTTTGCTGCTTCATCAGCTTCACCCCCTGCCCAGCTGCCTGTTGTGTGCATGGAAGGGTTCAGTCTGCATTTCCCTTCTTCTGCACCCCTACTTTATTATTTTAGGCTCTTTATTTTCATTTTTCTCTTTTCCTTTTGACTGTTTTTTCCCCCTTTCATTCCCCCTTTTTTAATATTTATTTTCTGCTGTGGGTTTTTTTCCCCCCCCCCCTCTTCTCTCACGTGACCTCGGTGCTTTCCTGTCTTTTTGTAAATTTTTCTTTTTTCTTTTTTTTTAATTTCTTTTTTCTTCTCCTGCTCAGAAGCCCCTGGGGCAGCTGCACAGCCGGGGCCACTCCTGGCTGTCAGAGAAGCCGGGAGCTGACTGCTCTACGGGATTTGTTTGCTCCCAGGTCTGCGGCTCGGGGCTCTCTCTCATCGTGTTTTATCAAATAAAGTTCGTGTGGCATTCCTGGCTTTGACGATGGTGTTTTATTGGGATGTGCCAAGCCCGGATTCCCCGGGAAGCAG